GGATGAAACTGAGAATGCCAGACAGACGTAGTGATAGTGAACCGTCAATGAAAATTGAATTTAATATGAAACGACTCGAATGGTACGAGTATCTGTAATTACCACGAAATGCTTGAAGTGTTTAATAAACAGGACCGTAAATGCGTTCGATCGTGAGCCTAAAATAGCATTGGGCACTCGACACGTTCACATAAGAAGCTGGATCCTTAAGCCAATCCCATCAATCGTGTTGTAAACAAACATTTTTACCACTATTTTCCTCCATTAAAAGAATCCTCAACATCTTGCAAAAAATCTCAAAAATCACATTTCTACACTGAACACTGCCAACATTTATGCACCACGAGGCAAGCTCGACAGTTATCAATTACGAACAATTTTACCTTGCACAATTTCATTTTATCAAACGAACATATCACTGGATCACAAAAATTTCCGAAGTTTCACTGAAAATAAACTTCAATGTTATTAATCTTAAACAATTTCATGTCACACACGGTTTCATTTTCGGAGAAATTTTAATTCAACTGTTAATAATTTTCATGACTTGGTAATGTACAGCAATGATCGAGGATTGGCAACTCGTCACTACGACAGAAATGGTGGTACTACATGGACTGACACAACTCGTAAAATAGTAATTGCCAGACACACACACAGATAGCTCAACTAGTTCACATACCTATAGATATCGTTTCTATTCCTAAATGACTGTCTTGACGTAGAAACGGCGGTAGTTATTTTAATGAACGCTCCAATCACTCTTAATTCCCCGGATTCTTCAACAGTACCTAGGCGACCGCATCAGCGCGAATCATAAAACGACTGACTCGAAGAATTCGAGGTGATCGTGAATCAGGTTCGCTGCCAAGGACGACGTACATTTAATGTCCCGCGTACTCAACCGTTATGTTTTTATTAGTCACCTAACACGCAGATAATTTCGTAAATGCAGGTTCAATTTTGGTAGCTCAAGTGTTGTTCTCTTTTATTGGTCCTTGAAAATAATTGTCCGAGCAAAAGGTTGCATAATAAACAACGTGATATGTTGAATACAGTAGAAACTCTATTATACATGGTGTATCGCGGTATAAGTGAGGTGGATATGATTTGTCGTGGTAAAACGAATCAAAATCGTCAAATCAAATCATCGTCACGTTTTCCAGAAAATTCAGTTTCAAATTTCATGGATCGTCTGGCCATGAGTTACTCTTTCTACTTATTGCGTACAGTGGCGAGATACATCGGTTAAATAACGTTCAGAGAATGGAACAACAAAAATAATTTTTGTGGATATGAATTTTGAAAATTGATTTCCCAGTCAATGAACAATCATAAAAAATATTCTCTTCTAGGTTCGACTTATTTTCTAACGAAGAATTGTCACAGCCACGTGTCTAAAGTTTTTCCGGACACCCTGTATATAAATAGTATATAATTCGCGATAGAAGACCCCGTATTATTGTCAACAATTCCATTAAACTGTAGCAAGGCCCAGTGGAACGTAGTAATTAACTAGACTGACGAGTCTGATTGGTATCATTCCACGAGTCGGAAATTATAAAACTCCGTTGTAAATAAATAAATTTCCGAGTCGAAGGAGAGACATTACTTAAGTCTGCTTTATCCTATTGGGTGTTCTATCCACTCACTAGTAACAAATATATAGATATAAAAGAAAAATTATCGAAATTAATAATCAACCAGCCATAAGACTGGCTAATGTAACTGCCATGTTGAACTGAAGTAATTTATAAGTAAGGCTGACTGTGCTACAGTTTCTGCCTTAACGATTGCGTTCAGGAAAAGAATTCACATTAAATAGTTCATTGGAACAGGGAGTATAGTAAGTCTATCTATGATTAGATTAGGGTAGATGTTAGGGTATATATTAGGGTATGTTAATACATACCAATCCCCTAATGGGTATATGTTAGGGTATATGTATATTAGGGTATGTTAATACATACCAATACCCTAATGGGTAGATGTTAGGGTAGTTGTTAGGGTAGATGGTAGGGTATATATTAGGGTATGTTAATACATACCAACACCCTAATGGGTATATGTTAGGGTAGAAGTTAGGGTATATGTTACGGTAGACAGTAGGTCCAATTATGATAAAATAGCTATACGTTTTGGCCAGATCAAGGCTGAGCACAAGGTCTGGTCAGGTTAAGACTAGACGTTAGGTCTAGTTAAATTAAAATAGGAAGTCTGGCCAGGTCAAGGCTAGCCACAAGATCGAGGATAGATATAAGATCTGGGTTAGGTCAACGGCACGACACGAGATCTAGTTAGGTCAATTTTAGTTACAAGGCCTAGGTTGGCCAAAAGTAGACACAATATCTGAATTAGCGACGAGTTCTTGCCTAGCTCTGGTTTCTGTGTGTTGTCTAAATTGAAAGCAAGTTCTAAGCTAGGTCTGGGTGAGATATGATTGTCTGAGTTAGGTTTGGGCTAGATTAAGCATGGAAGTAAGGTCTGGGCTCGGTAAAGGATAGAGAGTAAAGTTAGGATATGTTCTGGGTTAGGTCAACGACAGACAGGAGATCTAGTTAGGTCAATGTTAGGTCCACTATGTCTATGTTAGGTCAAAATTCGCCACGATGTCTGAGTTAGATCTGAACCCCGTTTAAGGTCTAGTTGGATATAAGGTCTGGGTTACACAAACATTAAAAGTATCGTTTAGATTGGGTCAAGGACGGAAGTAAGGTCTGGAGTAGATCTGGGTTAGAAATAAGATCTGGGTTGAGCCAACGGATAGGCTACCGGCCTGTTCGGGTCAAGGCTGGACATGACGTCTGCTTGGAGGAAATCTACAAATTAGGTCTGAATCGTATCCAAAGTACACACTAGGTCTGGTCTAAATCAGATCAGTTTTCTTCCGCTACGCTATGGTAAACCGTGCCTGGCGGTTTCGATACCTATGTAACCTTCCGGTCAGCGTGAACCCACCCTGTGATCACAAATCAATTTCAATTATTCATTCGAGAGACGGAAATACTGAAGTCTCGATGGTTTGATTCTATGCAGGCCTAGTGCGCGCATAATCTCATTCACGACAGATGGAGCAAAGTGAACATAACCGCCGCGACCACGGTATCATCTATGTTTGCTCTACTCGAGATAAAAATATTTGCACGCGGTGCACTTCCACTCGGGTGCATTTACGTTGCATTCGTTGCACCGGGGGAAAATATTTACCACTGTGTGATCCGCCACCAGAGGATCTACGTTGGACAATCTATCTGAAATCCCAACATGCCCTTTATACAGGGTGTCCCATTCAAATCGACCCACTCGAATATCTTCAAAACTGGTGACGATATTAAAAAACATTTTAGACAAAAATTAAATGGTATCAGTGGACACACTTTCTGACGTGAAAAACTTTTCTCTATGTGCACCGATAGAGGTCTTTTTTTTTCATGGAATTGTATTTTTGAAAAACGAGTAGCATCAAACAGTGCATGAAAAAAATGTCAGATTCAATTAAAAAAAACAAAGCTTACCTTCATATGACCTTTACGTGTCCACGAAGAAAAAACTTAACTTTGGTCTGAAATGTTTTGGAATATCGTCAATAGTGACTTGATATACATGGGATACCATTAGAATCAATCTTTCTACTTTCGATTAATGGATTTTTCATTACGACGCTCGTAAGGAAAATTACACGAAATTTGTTTGTGGGTGTACAGTTTGCAACTATTAGCTACAGCAGCATACCTAAATTATGTGATAATGCGACTTACCTATACTGATCGGTAAATATCCTGAAAATAACAATTCATTTTTATTCGAAAACGTTCCACTATGGTCGGACATGCTGTTAATGATTTACGTGTATCACGCAATCAAGAAAAAAAAAAAAAAAGAAGAAAAAGAATTATAAATACACTCTATCGTGTCAATGCTGTTCCCTGTATCGATGTCCTTTAGTTTTTTCTCTGTCCGTTCTACGTTATTTTGCAAAAGAAGCTGGCCGAGAGAAGCGCGTTGTTTGCTCGTCTAATAATCACGGCGAGGAAAGGTAAACCGAGAAATAAAACGGAGAAAAAAAAATGTTCGATTTTTCAGTCGCCAGACAGGATTTTCCACAATATTTCTCCTCCCTTGGGTAAATGTTCCACGTCGTCGTACGGTGTTTATTGTTCGTGGGCCCGGTGGGTTAGAGAATCTTGGTGCAAAGTGTTGAAATTCGTGGAGATAACAGTGCTTTATATGTTCTTTACAGTGTGTTCGTGACGGTGGTGTGTATGTGGCTGAAGCTTCGATTGGATCGGCTCAATTTCGCCACGTGTCTTTCGCTACAATTGTTTCGATAAACATTTCCACCGACTGCCACTGAATTCGCTACGAGCTACTGTTTTTGCGAAAAAAAAAGAAAAAAAAAAAAATACTGCAACGATCGGATTAAAAAAAAAGGAACTTTTAATTGTCCCTCGGTATCCGTGGGAATTATTACGAAGCCTCTCACGTGCCAAACGGAGCAAAATGTATTCAACTTTTATCTTCTCAGCAATTAAATACTCGTTATTCAATGGCAAACCAGAAAATTCCAATAACGGGCTGAATTAATTTCATCTCAACCAAACGCCAATTCGCAATCACAGGAAGCAATTACTAAACCGCACAGATTGCCTTTCAAACAAACGCAAACAAACTTCAACCCGCGTGGGCGTTTCAAACTAGTTCAAACGCTAGAAGGCGATGGAAAATAATCCGAAAGAAACGTAAGCGTGTACTATAATCAATCCAAACATCCTCGAAGAAAAAGTGGCTGAATCCTCGCAACATCGAAGAGTCCCATGCATTTCAGAATCCGGTTTCTATGGAATAATGGCGCATAGGCGTTAACAAGATAGCAAATCGTATCGATTTCACAGCAATTAATTATCCTGGCGAGGGGTGTTGATTAGTCTTGTGAGTGTGTGGTAGGGTTGTATGTGAAGTAAAACGAGATTGATAATAGATAATATGGATCGAGTACATACGCTCGTTCAACAGGAAGCTCGGTCTCTTTGAACCTGCAACCCAAGGATCACATACATGATATCGTCACACCCCACACCCGTTGGTCACGTTTTAGAAACTAAACATCATTTCGGGTCGTACAGCGAGGCGTGAACAGGAGAAAAACCAGGCCGAAATTACGATTTCTTGTAGCCCAGAGCTATCAAACCTTAAGGAGCCCCCTTGGTTGAAAAACGAGGGGGTTAAGGGGGGCAAACAAAATTGCAAAAACTGAAATTTATTCTAAGTCCAGTAACATTAACGAACGTTTCATTATAAGGAACAATGCTTGGTTATATTTTCATAACATTGATTCGATTTATTTAAAAATTAGTGCAGTTTCTCATTATTTCAAAAGGGATACAGTAAGAAAGAAATTAATTCAATTATTTTTTCACATAAATGGAAGGCTTACACCGGGGCCCCCCCTGGAATGTGGGACTTGGGGTTCTAACCCCCTTAGTCCCCTCCCTTCTCACTTTCGGCGCTGAGAAAATCCTTAATTGAACGTAAGGAATAGATAACTATAATTTTTTAAAGTATAAGAGTAAATGTTAGTCGTGGTGTATATGATCGATATTCAGCGCCTCGCTGCACGAAAGACGTAAAACAATAAAACGTAGTAATACATTTTAAGCACCACGACCATCGATAGAAGCTACAGTCGTTCTCAAGCTACACATACAGAGAGAACGTGTCGCAGGCTGTTTTTGTACAGTTGTCCGATAAACATAATACTGACAAGACGGTGCTCGGCTCAGATGTTTAAACACAGTCATCGTAGACTTGTCAAGTGTGCGATTTGCAGCTCTGCGTGAACATCTCGGCGACAATGCGAAACAAATATCGATTCGTAACTACGTCCAATAATTACGAGGTAATTTGTTCAATTATGATTTGGAAATGATCATTAAAATTTAGGAATTTTTCTAGTAAAAGATACTGTAGCCAGATTCTAAGGAAATAATTTTTCAAACCCGCAGTAGTAATGTTGTGGTCATGGCCAGACACGTTTATCGACAGAACATCATCAAGCTTCTTTATCTACTGTCAGAATTTTTATGATTCCTACTTTACCTCCGCTAATAATATCGAAAATTACCTTCAAATCTACTTTATCGTCTAATGATATCGGGATCGTTCTACTTGACCGACAATCGGTAGTTCTGTCGGTAAGGAAGATTCAAACTGTTGGTAATGCAGGTGAGAAAGGAACGATTCCTCTCGAAAGTTGGAAACGTTTCGATAAATGAACGGTTTCAATGTAATTTCGGTCGGTTATTAAATATCTCACACGTCAACACGAAATCGCAGATGAGGAGATATTACACTCAGGCAATTATTTATTTTTTAATTACCGCTTTTAATTATTCATCAGCACGAACACATCGCGTTACGACATAGCAATTAACACCGGCCCGTATATGCAGGTTCATCAGGAGCCTCGCGACTAAAGGAATCTGTAATTTACGCCTACGTGAATTACGATGTACGCTCACGTAATTATAAACCATAGTTCGGTCTTGAATAACCACTAATCACGGATTCACACTGGCGTACATTGTACGAAACAATACAGCTTTCCAATAAAGCAATCAGGGTAAATATGTCATTATCCTCGTCCAATGTGTTCTGTCGTGCCAAGCGAAGGGTCACATTTGTATTCAAGAATAAATTATCGATTTGTTAATGTCAATGTTTATTTTTTTCATCGGTCAAGTACTTTCGACGTTCTTTCGAGTAGATTCTCTAAATGTCAATATGCGGCGAATCGAAGGCAAAAGAAACTTCTGTAACAGTTCAACGTTGATTCTGTGTCTGACCACAACCGACCGTTTCTACTGAAAGTTTCCCGCGCGAATCAATTCTGTGTGCAAGTCCCTGTCGAACAAATATTCTACACTTCGTCTGGTCGAAGCTCGAACAAACAACATTGTTTGTTCGAAGGTACTCTATCGTTCCCAAATAATTATTTACACGTTAGATCATTATCCGATTTTGGAAAAATTCTACTTCACAATTTCTTTGTACAGAGAAAAAAAAGTAGCCGAAAAGGACGACACTTTTTAGTGACGTCAATAGAGATTATCGAGCAAATTGAACACGATTTGGGCTCACCTTTCGCTGGCGATCGAACTGTTCCGTGACATCGATTTCGGCGACATCTCGAAATCGCTGTCACTGCGGTAAAGGAAGCTCTCTCTCCGTTGCGGCAGAGTCTGGAGAACGAGGCCGGCACTCGGCGAGGCGCCACCGCCGCCTCCGGCGCCTCCGTCCAGCGCTGAAGCGCCATTTTCTACGTCGAAACTGCGAACAAAAATACAAAATTAATGAAACACCTGTTCCTTTATTCTCCTTATTTCATTATGACCTTCTTACTTTTTTTTAATTAAATATCGATTGAATAAAGTACGTTCACATTACTTTTTGGACAAAATGAAATCAATAATTACACTGTTAATACCTATATAAAAGGGAATGAAAAATTGATAGACTTAATATTTGCGTTTACTATATAAAAGACAGATGTACCTAATTATATCTTTTTCATAAAAGGGAAATCCTCTCTGTAAAATGAATTCCTACTTCAATGTAAGAAAGTTTTTACGTAAATGTACTGATATAAAATCCATTACGTAATTAAAAAATGCTTGTTCGTATTTTATCCACTGTTTCCAACTGCATATTGAAAGATTTTATTAGCGTCTCACAAAGCCTCGAAGCTTTGGCGGCCATTTTGTATTATGAGGCTGTAAATAACCTGCCAAACGCGTTAGTCAAACTTCTTCGTTAAATTAACGACGGTGTCGTGTTACGCCGTTAAACAGGCCCAACTTCCCATAAATACATCTAATTATAACGCTTGGAATAACTGAACCCGTCAAAATGACGGATTTCAAATTTCTTGCCTCGCAATTGGAGAAATCACAAATGTATTTTCGTCGTAATTTATGGTGATGTGTGCTTTATTATGCATTTTACATTACACTATATTATATTGTTTTATATATTATACATATCAATACAGGGGGTCTCATTTAAGGTTAGCCCCCCGAATACCTCTTTTAATTCTGAGTACGCAAAAAATATTTTACGCATAATTTGAATGGTGTTAAGTGGTCAGTATTTTGTAGGCGTTGCTTCTTTTAATGTTTCTTTCTCGAAGTGTTCAAGGTCAACTATGTTTTTTTTTCATATAACCACACATTTGTTCCTATTGCAACACGTACCTCTTGAAAAAAATTCATTCAGATAAGTGTTATGATATGACCTTCAAATGACCTTGAACCCCGAAAGTGACGACTAACGATAACCATCAAGATTTTTCGAGAAATTCAAGATAAAATTTCTTTCTTCGAAAAGTGAAAAGTATCGAGAAATACAGAAACACTACTTCCAGCTGTTCCACTGTTTCCAAAAATGGAATCATGGACTCCGACCGTATGTGGCTTCCCTAGGGAATTTTTTTTAAAGGAGATAATGCTGATTTCTAGTTGAATTGCTAGTAAATATTTTTACAGAACAAGTCTAGTTATATTTCACGCGTGTCCTACATTAACGGAGACGAGAACAAATCTATATACATATTTTTGCCAGTTAACTTTTGCATTTGCAATATCATATTTCATTTAAATTAATTACCCGGAAAGTACAGAATGAAGTCAACCGAACGGGAAATTGTTTCGAGCCGAAATATAGAAACGGTCGTTACACATTGTCGAATATACGATGGTGCGTTCAATTAAAATTTATAAATAAATATCGTCGATCGGAACCTGGTGTGCTTTATTCAGGAGCCGTGGTGTCAGTTAAAGTGAAATTGCCGGGTGATATCATGCGCGTTCGCAAAAATATTCCGGATCTAAAACGTGTCGAGAATGTGAATGATAACTGGGAAAGTCGAATGTGATATATCCAGCAGCAAGTGGACGGTATTATCCTGACAATTTAAATATCAATTGCTATTAAAGTGTATTTTTCAACGAGAATAATTGAAACGTTGATTGACGTGAGAATTCTTATTAATGTGATGTAACGAGAGCCATCGTTAGTTTATGAAAAATGAAAACGAGATCTAATCACGTGTTTTCGTTAATTGAGAATGTAATTATAATATTCATCATTAATAATGTATTAATTATCTGCTACCTAATTCTTGTCTCCGGAGAGAACAGAAATTCGTTTATTTTGTTTATTAAATGAGTGAACAACAATTCGTTTAATTTTTTATTAAACATATGAACAGTAATTCGTTAAATTTTTTATTAAACAAATGAACAGTAATTCGTTTAATTTTTTAATAAACGAATGAACAGTATTTTGTGTATATTTGAATTGAATGTGGTTCCTCCGTTTCGAGTACCGATCAGAGAAAAGAGCAATCGCAGGTATTTGTGATCGAATTTCGCCTGAACTGTGCCCGAAATAATTACCTCTAGTATAATAGCCAAGATTACGATCCACGGGCTCGTTAGAATGGATCTAATTATTGGGGGGGGGGGGGCTTAATTAACATTCTTTCGTTCTTTCGTTCCCATGATAGTCTGCGGTGATCAGAAACCACGTTTCGTTCGACTGCTCCCGATAGTAATCATTACACATTATGTAAGACAACGATTAATGCTCTGACCTTGCCATTCAAATGGTTAAATAGTTCGTCATTGTGACGGTGAATGGGCCCACTGAATGAATGCCAACAAATGTTTCCACTTCGTTGTTCTCCAATTGTTATTCGAAATACACAAAAAATAAAATGAAAAATATTTATATGTGCAATAAAAGTGGGAAGGCGAGAGTGTCTGATCGTGACTAACCAATTCTACTTAAGCCACGAGGCACGTGTTGTATGAAGCCTGTTGAATGACTGACCGTGATTGGCTGTATCTACTGGACATCTTTAGTGTAAGTATACTATCCTTTGCGTGTGTAACCACTGTGTACTCAACCCCCTGCAAACTCAACCGTACAGAAAAGTATATGAATTTCAAGATACCTAATGAGTGCCCTGATTGATTAATTATCGTGGAAATACATGGAAACAGTATACAATGTGTATTATTGAATGGGAAATATAAATATAGAATGTGCAGCGGATGTCTGATCATTACTTGCATCATTTACTCGAATTCTATACTCATCTAGAACGGTCTGGTTTATTTTATTAAAGCGTGAACGAGTGTCTGACTACGGCAGGATAATTCTACTGAAGCTTTTTCAACAGTTACAGAATGAAGAATTTAATAATTATTTAATTAAAGAGCGATATAGTACTTTTTGGGTACATTTGACGCTTTAAATGTAATTTAATTCACACTCGAGTAACTATTTTAATTTTCAAAAGTTTTTCAAACCTGATTTTGCATATTTGGACAGCCCTGCGATATCGATCCTGTTACTTTTAACCATTCCCTAGTGCAGAACAATGGTCTTTATGTAATAACGTAACAGGCGCGGCGGCCACGAAACGGAAGTGCCTTTTAATCACTTCTTTATTATTGGTTCTGCTTGATGTCTAATATTAGCGATTCGGGCTTGGCTGTGTCTGATAAACACGACGATTGCACCTCGGTATCTACCTGGCAAATTTGCACTCAGAAATTAAACACTTGTTGATCCGTGCCCACCGTACGAAAACCGAGCATTCCCATACTCTTCTTATCCACGAACCAGGTAAGGCATTTTAAAAAAGCAACTGACGCTAGACCCTTCCATTTGACAATACAAAAACTATACTAACATTTCACACTACCATAAAATTAATTACATAAAAAGTAACACTTTCAATAAACCTCAATTAAATTCTCAGTAGAAATTCGACCAAATTATACCTATTATAAATTTCAATTTAATCTTGATTTTCGAAAACTACTTCGTGCACATTGTATCTCACGTATAATTAATTTCTATTATTTGATAATCACGTCTCGTACAATTCATTATAACAGCTATAGTTTAAATACCAAGTCGGGTCACAAGTGACCCAGCCACCGGGGGGACAACGATTAACAATAGGGGAATAAATAAGCGGTTCCAGTAACTTGTTCCCAACAGTTAAACGCAACGTTCCCAAGGCGAACTGTAAATCTCTTCCCCCACCCACATATCGTGAATCGTTTCCGTTGTGATTAGGGTAATTGCGCGTGGCTCGAGCATCGAAGCTCCTTTCTATCCGCGTTGGCTAATTAAAAAGAATCATCGCTCGGGTCATTATTTTGAGCTCAATCTCCTAATGGATTTCTCCCTCGAGCAGAAAAGGCAAAGGCTCGTTCTCGACCGACGAGTTAAGGGAAAGGGCGAGGGCTAACTGGTCGGCGAAACGCGACACGAAACATTATTTACATTAATCCTCGGCCCTGTGTCTGATCAGGGAATGGAATGATTCTACTTGGTGATTCTATTGGCAGGGGTCACTAGATAGAGCTCAAGTACCACTTTAACAAACGTTCGATTCTCCTCCTACTGTTAATAGGAAGTTGCTCACAATTCCTTTAAAAATTCCTCATGAAAACAGTAACAAAATTAATTAAATACCGAAAGTTCATAAATAATTTATATGCCTGAAAGAATTCCTAGTCTGAATCGCTGGTCGGAAAAGGTCAAGCTCCAGTTGTGAGACACTGTCACGTGCTCCCAACACATTTGATAGTGGGGGGCGTGGCCTTGGAGACGTTCATTGAGTCTCATTTACTTTATGGAAGTATTTAACAGATTCGTCTCTCGATGTATTTCATCTAACTTTCCACTCACGCTGACAAGGTAATAGCACATTAACGTGACGGTCACTCGTGTCTATGGAGACGTAAACGGAAAACTCGGTGACGGTCACCGGTGACCGTCATTGTGATCAAGATATCGATGTAGAATTAAAATCTAGAATTACACATTAAAATGTAGACACTGTAATTATCGTTCACGTCGCGCCGGTTACCGGTGACCGTCATTTTGGTCAATGCATCGATGCAGAATTAAATTATGTAGAATTACATGTACACCTAAATATTAAAATGTAGAAATTAAAATTTTCGTTCACGTCGCGCCGGTCACCGGTGACCGTCACGTTGGTCAATGCATCGATGCAGAATTAAAATGTAGAATTACATCTACACCTGAACATTAAAATGTAGAAATTAAAATTTTCGTTCGCGTCGCGCCGGTCACCGGTGACCGTCACGTTGGTCAATGCATCGATGCAGAATTAAAATGTAGAATTACATCTACACCTGAACATTAAAATGTAGAAATTAAAATTTTCGTTCGCGTCGCGCCGGTCACCGGTGACCGTCACGTTGGTCAA